AATAATAATTGACATTAGATTAATAATTGCAAATCATGTAATAGGCAAATTGAAGTAAAATTAAATTTGATTGAATGTCGGGAAATTCTCGAGACTTTTGGTAGCACGATAAAATAATTCCTTGAATAAAAAAAAATCAATAAATGTTAGAAATACCGGGAGAAAATATAAAATCTGGAAACGCAGAAAATCAATAGAAAATTACGTAAATAGGATATTCTGTCAAAGAACTGAACTATTTATATATATAAAACTCTGAAGGATGCTTGTACGAGTTTACTTCATTGATAGAATATTTAACATACCTGAATCATACTGAATGAAGCGATTTATTGATAAACCGCGGATTCAGGACACAGTCTTTGAACCTCTTGGTCGTGCTACGAAAGGATTCTCGCTCGCGTTTTTATTTTTACCTGAAAAGCGCACGAAGTGCCCCCCTTGATATCTCGTGCCCTGATGCGAACGCGTCGTACCAAGTATTTTCCTCGTCTCGTTTTTTTGAAACTGGTGCAAAATCGGCTTGAAGGTGCGTGCCTAAACACCTGCCGCCGTCGCAGCCCGAGCCGTTCATCTTCTGCATGACGAGCGACTCGCGAAACACGAGCTTCGTCATCGAGTGCTGTAAACAGGATTTTTGCAATCAGGATCTGAAACCTATGCTGCACCCCCGCAAAGAAGGTATAGTCCAAACAAATCTAGGAGTTACGAAAAACTCTGCAGGTGGCACGGGCTTTTGCTGCTACTCTCCTTTCTCACCCTCTCTCTATCTTGTCTTTTTTTTTTCTTCTTCTCTTATTATTACTCTCTAGCCCTGCAATATGATTTGTAAATATATTTTCTCGCTATTCCTCTTTATTTCAGAATATTCACAATTGTTTCTTGTTGTCAATCCATGCCGTACTAGTATTGAATTGGGAGCAGTACATTGCTGGAGAATACGATATATAGGATAATTACATATTTAAGAATTAAAATATTTAATTATTTGACAGTTATTGATTTAATATTTTATATGAGTACATCTAAATGTGTGTGGAACTAAGAATAAATTAAAATTAACGAGAATAGAAATGAAAAGCAATATATATGGTAAGGGGAAACTGTTTCCAAGTTTTGAAGTCAGTTTGACCTAATCCACGCAACTATTTAAAGGGGCAGTTCCATCATCCGATAGTTTCGTAATGCCAATTTATCAACTACTGAAATTGTTAAGCTATTGTTCATGAATCTACTCACTATTTCAATCTGTATTTAATCCCACTATATCGATTTTATTTAAATATAATTAATGTGAATAATATATTTGAAAATATTTTATTAATATTACCATATGTATAAGATAAATATATATTTAAAGAAATAAATTTTGATTACGTTTCTTCTCATTATTTAAAATTTATTTAAAGAATTTAGAATTATTGAATTTCATAAATATATTCTGTATATTTTTTTGATTGCTTAAAGTTGAGAAAATGAACGTATAAATATATTAATCAATATTTTTCATAATTTGGTTGCAAAGTGTATCTAATATTTCATACGTAAGAATTTTTATAATCAAAAAAGAAACGATTGATTGGCCGGTATATTTTTTTTCATATAAACGAATCAATATTAATAAATTGAAAAATTTTTGTTATAATAAAAATTCGATTAATTTGATTTACAAGACAAAAGAAGAACATTAGCTTTGCAAAAGAATTCGCGTGTGGCACAGGGCCATTCCTAATATTTGATAAAGTGGAAACGATTCAAGTATCAGTATAGGAGTTCGTTAAATCGTGCGAGTTATTCTTTGTAATCGGAATAATACATTATATCACACTCAGAAATACACAAATACAGTCTCCGGCAATGTATATGACTATGTTTCGTACTATTATTTCAAATTTGTTCTTACACGCTCTCTGTCGCGCTCTCGCAACCGTTATTTGTGTACATATATTTATATTTATGTATAGAATACATCAAAATCATTCGATGATATTTTAGAAATAGATTATATTTATCTACTGATTTTTTAAAAGGGTGAATTTCTATTGGACACAATTTTTACATCAAATATTTTTTGGGCAATCAAAAGCTTTCCCAATTAAAATTTTTTCAAAATAAAATTTACTCGATACCTCATCGAGAAAAACGCATTTTTCTTATTTATTTGCGTATTTTTGAATCTCTTAATTTGTGTATTCGAGTTTGTCTTCGCCTCCTAAAATGTCATCCGATGATTTTGGGACACTGTGTAGATTTCTATATTCGTATAACGTCATGTGCATTATATTGTGTGAAGAATGGAAAGCTTTCGCAACGCTGCAACACGCAGACGTGCACACGCGATGCGCTACTTGCGTATTCGCGGATGCGTATTGCGCTATCTCGTTCGCCGTTCATTGCATTTAATAAAGCGCAACGTACCGGGCTATTTTATATCGTGGTTTCTTGAACCGCAGTGGAATATTGTGCAGTGCCGTTATCGCTGGAGCAAATAAAATGCAGAATTGACCGAAGTAAAAATTATTTTACGAGAGATACTCTTCGTATATTAATTAAATTATTATTATCATATTTCCATTACATTAATGAACATTATAATTTAATTAAATCAATATGTTACGTATCTCTCGCGTTTTATCATCTAGATAAATAGAAATGTCTATTTACTGTCATATTGCATTACGAAAGATTGAATTATTAATTGAATCGTTGTTATTTATTACATTAAAATTATATCTTGTTTTATGCGTTCAGTAAAATGATATAAATAAGCGTGATCAATAATCGTTTAGCATTTCATCAGTTTCCATTATATTTCTCCATTTTTCTCCGTTTCTTTCCCGAGCAGCAGACGCCCATATTATTGATATTATCGATGTTGATTTTACATATTTTTACAAATTGCAAATTTATTCATATAGAGAAATAATCTCCAGTTTCGAGATTAAATTGATAACGAGATTAATAAAATTGATGATGAAATGAACGGCGAAATTTAATGAATTTGGACAGGTAAGGTAATATGCGAACGCACTATATGCGTTTGCTCATATTGTAATATTCGGAAAACGATCGAGATGTTTGCCACCTACGGAGCTTGTAGTCGCTTCAAGGCAATCTTCTCCTGTATTTTCTTACTTACAAGCCCATCATACGCCGGAAGTTCTTCTGAGTAAACTCGGAAAGGACCGGTAGCATGTTGTCACATGTTCTCTTCTCTGCACTCTTTAACGACAATACTATCCCGCAGTAACTCTGATAGAGCGTGACCCGCGAGAAAGGGTGGCTTTTGTAAATATCTTCCCTGCCTCCCGTAGATACTCTCAGACCCTCTGCAAAACTTGTCGTTCTTTTTATTAACTTCCCCAAGAATGTATTATATATTGACAATCCATTATTATATCGAGAAGCACCGAGGAACTTGGCATGAGATTCTTAAGCAAAAGCATTATGATTGTATTAAACTCACTTTGAGACAGTCGCTTTTTAATTAGTATGTATTATCCTTGTTCATCTATCTTTTACAAGTACGCATCACATGTCAAATTCTCTTTACAGCTTTCACAATACAAATTAAAATTAATAATGTGAGCATTTTCTTGAAATTGTCAAAATTAAGTAAAATTAAGTAATGTTCTTAACTGATATCTTCTTTTCAGCATGTCTTCTGACTTTATGTGCCTTATCTTTATTATTCAATATTGAGGTTTTTTAAATCTAAAAATAATTTAAAGAATATAGAATTCTCTCTTAAAAGCTATCAAGGTAATCTACTTGTTGCAAGTAGTAAAATATTTATTTTTTTATATCTATGTTATAATATTATTCTATTGTAAAAAATATACAAAGTGTATTGTAAAATTTGTATCAAACTTTACATATTTTTCACAAATTTGAAATTTGTGTATTTAAGAATAATTTATTCTTTAAATTTATTTAACAAAATTAATTCCTTAAAAATTATCACAGAAATGCTTAACAAAAATATTATAAAGTTTTCTACAATTAATATCAAATTTTTTATAAAATAAATTATAAAATTTTGATATCTATAATTCTTTATTTTTTTCTTAGTTTTTTTAAAATAGATTTTATTCAGACTAATTAAGATATATTATCGAAATATTAAGACAAATTATTAGTTGTGAAAGAGATAAAATAGCAATCTAATCAGTTGCTTTACGTCGATGATAAATTATTCTTAAATTTATCAGATTAAATTTATCTTAATATACTGTAAATTGCGCATTTTACACGAAACATTATATATTTACTTCCTTCAATTTTTCCAAGAGTATATTAAAGACACTTGATGATCCACATTAGTCTACGTATATTTATGTGTAAGGAATTTATGAAAACTTAGGGAAGTGTGATATATTTTTAAAACGCTTCGCTTTTTTAAATGTTTATATTTTAATAAAAAATATATATTATTATAAAGAATTATAGATTTTTAAATTATATATATATTTTTTGAAAATGTAGTTTCTTATTGTTAATCTCATAGTACTTTTATAAATTTTTTTAGGCATATGTAGACTTTTTTAAAGATTTAATTGTATTGATAGCCTTACTTTAATTAATTCTTGGATTATGTAACATTTTTCCTTTTAATCTGTAACTTTAATTTCAGGCTGTATAACATTAAGTAATGTTTCCAATAGTATTATTATATAGATACTAATGAAATTAAGATCGAGAAGCTAAACCAGCAATCGGTGCAATCTAGGTGCTGTTCGCTAATCACTTTTCTAGCTTTTATTAAACTTTAACATAATATACTCAACCAATAAGACTGCCATATTAGCATTTCTGTGTCCTTGTGTATATTTCTTACAATCAAACACTGTTTCACTATAGAATCTTATCTTCAATAATCCACTAAAACCAGGACCTGTACGAGTATGTCACGTCATCTTTACAGCAGAAAACGCTTTTCGGCGATGTGAATGTCGCAGTCTGGTCCGCGGCAGTACTCGTCATGTAAATTATTTTCCCAGGTGTTACAATAAGACGAACTTCTTTCCGGACAATACATTCTCGATCTGGTGCACCACGAACAGTACGCTGCGCGGTCCAGATGGCACCGAATTCGTGATCGCCTGTTGTGATCATTCCGACTACTGCAATCGCGATCTAAGGCCTTTCTTTTCTACTCACGAGTCCAGAGATCGACCGTATTCTCGCTTCATGAGCCACCTCAAAGGAGGTACAATAAATCGCAGCTAAAGCGGCAGTCGCGAAATTTCTCACCTCCAAGGTTGCTTTGGTCGCAAAGTTCGTTTCCGCGAAAGATCCTCGTAAAAATCAACTCGTCAATCAATGACAGAATCCGTAATAAGAAATCCATATAAAACGGTCGAATTTAATGTCTACCTCAAAAAAGAAGAATAAATTTAAAAAAATAAAAAAAATATGCCTATATCATAAGTTGCTACACTGAGGAAAAAATTATCTTGAAATAAAAAAATTTTAGTTAACTCAAGAAAGCTATTTATTCGGTGAATACTAATCACGTATTTACTTGGATTCAAAACGTCTGTTTGCTTAAGTTAAGTATTTATTTACATATGTTTAAAAAAATATATATGCTTGAAAAAATATAGTTTTTAATTAAATATTTTTATTTTAATTTTACAAAATATTTATTAAAATGCATTTTTTATTCCCAAAAATTTTAAATGTTTTAATTTAAAAAAGTAATATATTTAATTTAATAAATTATAATATATATTTTACGAAAATAGTATTTAAATATAAAAAATATATAAATGAAAATAATGTACTTAATATAACATGCATATTTAATTAAAATTAAATACTTTTGCTTAAATGAAATAAACAATTTCTTGCATTTAAAGCAAAAGTTTCAAGAAAACAAATTTATTTGATTTAAAAAAATTTTTCCCTCAGTGTATTGACGAACATTTCTACTCTAATTATTAAAATGTTTGAGCGGTATATTTTGATTAATATTAACAAATAGTTATACTATAATATTAATAGTTTTTATCGTTTTTATCCTAGATAATATTGATCGGGATAATCATCGATATTATGGTCTTTTGCTTTATTTATTCATCAGCCGTGATATGATGCGAGCGATAGCTTTTGTAGTCATTAAGTAGTAACGAGGTGATTTACGCAGATAACTAACAGCAGCTATTACGCGTAATGGTTCGACAAAAAATGAATAAATAATTTATCGGCTGAATAGCGTTTTCTATTAATAGCAAAAACGGTTTAAATTATTAAGTTTGAAAAAAAATTTGAATTCAGCTCAACTTACCGATATTTTGCTAAGGCATCGAGCTCTTTACGATCGATACATTGAAGGTTTTTGAATATTAAATCCATTTTTCTTTATCTCATGATGATTTGGTAACTTTTGAACGCGCGCGTTACATCAACAACTTATGTAAGAACTTATATATTTGAAACTCTCGATTCATGCGTTCAATACAACGAGGAAAATACTTCGAATTCCTAGAAAGAGAGGAAGAAGTATAAATATGAATAAGGCATTGAATTCTCAATCAAGTCAAGTAATGCAGTCTGAGAAATTTTTTGCGAGACTCTAATTGTACTTCAATGACATTTGAAATATCAGATGATAGATTTATATATAAGTGGATGTATATCTGACTCTCTTATTATTTTTTTATAAACGTTTTTCTTTTAACACAAAAATATTTTACGATAATTATTGCAAGATTCTTAAGATTTATTTTATTTTTTTTTGCTAATTTTTCTCTCTATTATTTATCTTAATTAAAGAAGATCTATTATTTATCTTAATTATTTATCTTAAATAATTAAAAAAAAAAAAATTAAAAAACGTATATATTCTCTCTTTATCCTACGTGTAAATCTGTCATTGTTCAAATTATTTTTTTGTTTTAAAGAGCTTTTTCGGATTGAGGATTAACGGGAAAAGAACTTTTCTGACAGCGACCTTGGTGAGACACGCGTGCGATGATGATGAGAGAAACGGGGGATATCGATTATCGATTTTCTACGCTTTTGTGAATTGTCTGGGCGCTCACTTTTCACACTTGTGTCTCCTCTGTATTCCCTACGTTTCACGTTTTCGTGCCATTTATCTTGCTTGTGCCGAGCTGACAAGACAAGGAACGGACTGGCAGCCATCGACCGACAATTTTCTTTATCGCTATCACATTTATCGTGTTTTTTCGCTTGAAATGAATTTTTACTGCAATAGAATTCGACATTTTATTGCTGCTACGGAATAATGTTGTTTCGTTACATAATGCAAGATATATTTGAATTAAGCAATATACATGCATATTACCTTTAAAAAAAATTATATATTAAATCTGAAATGTTTTACATTCATTACATTGAACATCTTGGCTAAGTAAAACCTTTCACAGAATAAATTATTTAAAAAATTATTTTTTTTTAATCAAATAATACAATTTTTAATTATTAATTTAAATACATATTTTTTTATTATTTATTTTTACATTTTTGAAAAAGTAAATTTTTTAAATTTAATTCTTAAAGTTATTTTCTTTTATTTAATTTCAAATGTGTGTATACATGTGATGTCATTGTGCGCTCATATATCGCGTGTATCTCCTATTCATAATAAAAAGGGGATGCAGATAACCCCCTTGCTGTATATGTTACGTGCAGATAAGATAATAACGGATCATGTACCGATGCATTTTGCAACGTTGAGAAAATCTGATAAAAAATCGAGGGCATTCCTCTCTCGGTCCGTGTTATCATTCTGTATGTAACTAGAATATGCTAATTCTAGAACACAAACGCTTTCCAGTGTCATATTAACATCTTTGTAACTTTTGCATATGTTTAAAAATTCTTTTAAAATCAAATAATATGAAAAATTATAGATATAAAATATAGTTTTTAGAACATCTATTTATATGAATCGTATAAATAATAAATATAAATATTTATATTGTAGAGTTAAACAATTTTAATAGTATATTTCATTAGAAATGTTTCAAGAAAAGTCTCGCGTACGAAAATAAGATATTATGTATAAAATTTTTAGATCGATATCTAAGCCTTCCGATTGTCGTCCAATTTGTTGACTTGAAGTTTGGATTACAAATTCAAATTCAATAAAATACGATGCCAGATCTAATTGAGCATATTGAAATGTTTACATACTATATAATAATTCAAATCAATTGAAAATAGAATTGCTTCCTGGCAGAACCAGTCATCATAATTAAATCGTAATTGACCCATGATTGTAAAGAGAAACAACAAAGTTATCAGTTATCGCGCATGATATATATATAATTCGAACAATTAGAAGTATGATATAAATGTATAGAATTTTATGGAGAACGTTTCGTTGACATATCTACATGTCTGCAAATTTTGATGGCGGATAACGGACGAACGTGGATGCAATTTGCCAGCGCGAATGGAATAGTCCGGTCTCGGGAATACAAGGTAACGAAGCGTATGCAACGCGATTTGAACGAAGGGATGATGGGATAGACTGGAAGCGATATTCATCGATTATACGTGCCCCAATAAATCCGCGAGTACAGCCATTTATCGGCGAGCAGCGATTTGATATTGGCACGAGACGCGCGTTATGTGCTCGCTCATGGAATTCGACGTTCACGTGGCGGTTTAATCAGCTTCGACGAGGATTTATCGACGGAAAAGATATTTTTGCATTAATCTATTACATTGTCAATATTGAAACATATCGTATTACCGATTTCATTAGATTATTATATTTGATGTTCTTAATATATCATTAAGAAATTTTATTTTTTAATATTTTTATTTTTAAATAATGATTTCAAGTAAAGAATGATTAAGTATAAAAAAGCTTTGAAGCATTTTAAGAATGATAACGCATCTGTCAAATTTAGTGATAATTAATACGCATTATACAGTCTTGATAGAATATATGTAATAATCGTATTTTTCTTTTAATATTTAACATTTCTTAATTTTTTTTTTATTAAAAGAAAATTATTGAAATAAATATGTAATTATAATCATGGCTATCTTTAATATAAAATATTAATATAAAATTTTAATATAAAATATATTTTTATACAATTATATCTTGAAAAAAGATCAAATTTTTGTTAGAAAAATAACATTTTAAGAAGAAAAGTAGTCATCTATAAATTAAAATATTCAAAATACCTTATATGAAGAATATTTTTTAATTAATAATTATTATGCACTTTTATGAGTCTGTTGATTTTATAAGGATTTATAGACATTATGAAACGAAACAACTGACTGCAAAAATTATTATTTAAGAGACGTATTTTTATGAACGGGATTTTTTTTTATAATGTCAGCAAGGTGCACATTTGATATTACCTCGCATTATTGGGAAAACCATCGTTGGACATGCAATCACTCATCAATGAATCGTTTTTCGCCGTGTTGCCTGTTACATTGCATTGAAATCTTCATAGGAATCCGTATTCAATTATATCGTGATTCTCTCTATCTGCATATTTTCACAGATAACCCTGCCAATTATATTTTCCGTCTGTTCGATTCCACGGTGAACCGTAGTTATTTGTTTTAGTTTATTCGAATTTTATCATTTCCAATCCTTATGTCCTGCGGAGAATATCTACATTTGATATTTCTACATTAATCATTTTAATTAAAAAGAGCCTTTGTGTGCGGGGAATTTTAACAATATTGGAAAGTTATTAAAATTTATATTTCACACATATGGGGTTTAATTATTAACACTTACGAAATGTTTTATAATTAATATGATTTAATTGAGCTTAGATGCAGGTAGTTTTTACAAATAATCTTTTTTGACGGAAATTTACTTACAAATTATTGTCATAATTTTTTTAAATTTTTATATTAAATATCCTTATTTTATATATGTATGTTATATATTTATTGACCTTGTATAAATCACCAAATCACCAAATTTTGTATTTGAAAAATACATTAAATATACGAATTTACGCCTTATGAAACATTTCGTATACATCTAATTATAAACGTACTCATTCATAAATTAATTCTTTCAAGAATCTGCGAATTTCTCGCGATTTATTATTATAAATTTACAAAATCGTATAAATATGAATCGAAATGAACAAATTATTTTTAAAAAATTGTTATTTTGATTTTATATCATTTGACGATTTGATTGGCCTTTTCGGATGTTGTTAACATAATTTTCATGTGTGTTTTCAATAAGTTACCGATTACTTATATGCTTCGAAGCAATACGTTCTTGGCCTTCAACTTTACGACTCACTCAGGTAAGTTCAATTATGTGCATAACGTGCTATAGACGTCTCGATAAGACGCGTTGAAAAAAAAACTATCTATAATTCAATTTATCACGATGTGAATTTAATTGCTGTATCACGTACAACAAGTGATTACTGCGAATTTAACATGAGAGATTCTACGAATAGAGCTTCAATGAACAAAACATTGTCCGTCGAGCATAAATGAAGATAAAAACCGCGACGAATGATTGTTTTTGTGTGTTTATAATTTGCACCATTAATATCTGTCAAAAGTACATAAAAATATGAGACTCAAGATCGATAGAAAAACTCTTATTTATTGTTAGTTTACCTTATCAGATCTGTATAAAATTGAAATTAACAATATATTAATATGATAGTAAATTATCGAGGCGCAATCGTACGTTTTTGCACACGATCGATTATTGTTTATTGGTGATTGAGGTGGTGGAGATTATTGGTGAAATAATCCGTATAAAAATCGCTCGAAATTTTGTTCCCATTGCATTAAGTCCTTAAATGTATTTGTTTAACCGCTATTGACACTGTGAGATTGCTTTATATTCTTCATTTTTGCTAGCATTTTGTTGCATCTGAAATTTGCTTGCGCTTGCTTTCGAATCAACAATGCAATACTGACCTCGTTCAATACTCCCACGAAGTTTTTCGCTTTCAAAATCAGTGGTATTCAACTTCGCTCGTGTCCAAATATGAGTGTTAATCGAAAAGAGAAAAAAAAAAACAATTTATCATAGATAATATCATATAATCATTGACGAAAAATGGCCAACATATGAAGAGACAGTCACAAGTTTTTTGCCATATTACATAATGGAGCTGCATTTAAGACAATTTTGCGCATCCACATAATTTGCCCGCGAACCTTGAGACACAGTACGTGGCACGCATCCGGGAGTATGCGTGTCACGAGTTGAATACCACTGGCATAATGATGTATGGCATACGGCATCATTTAAGCGTGATGCACCGCGGTTGAAATTGAAATTTCTCCGTCGGTGTTTCCCACGTACAAATAATAATCGAACTTGTTTTTTCGCCAAAAGTGTCGTCGGACGATGACGACGCGACGTGGGTCACCTGGAAAATGGCCTTGACGATAGCACTGCCAATATGCGCGATCTGCGTGATCGTTATGGTCATCTATCATATACACATGACCAAAAAGAGACCGGCCAGGCACTTCCCGGACGATTCGCTGGAGGCTCCGGACCGGCCGATTTTGGGCGGCGTCACCATCAGGGATATGTTGGAAATGACTACCAGCGGCAGCGGCTCGGGTAGGTCAAACTAAATTAAAGTTGATCGTTCAGTATTGAATGAGAAGTTAAAAGGCAACAGCAATTCTTGAAAATCTCCTTTCTCATAATTATTAATTATTCAGAAAATATTGAATTCAAACAATTAATTTATAACGATATCGAAAATTGCGAGCTTAATTTTTTGATTATTTTTTTTCTCAGCAAATATATTAATTTCTTATATAAATTTATAATATTTATATTTATATATAAATTTTATTTAATTTACTTTATGTAATTGTAGGTCAAACTAAATTAAAGTTGGTCGTTCAGTATTGAATGAGAAGTTAAAAGGCAACAGCAATTCTTGAAAATCTCCTTTCTCATAATTATTAATTATTCAGAAAATATTGAATTCAAACAATTAATTTATAACGATATCGAAAATTGCGAGCTTAATTTTTTGATTATTTTTTTTCTCAGCAAATATATTACTTTCTTATATAAATTTATAATATTTATATTTATATATAAATTTTATTTAATTTACTTTATGTAATTGTAGGTCAAACTAAATTAAAGTTGGTCGTTCAGTATTGAATGATAAGTTAAAAGGCAACAGCAAATCTTGAAAATATCTCCTTTCTCATAATTATTAATTATTCAATAATTATTCAGAAAATATTGAATTCAAACAATTAATTTATAACGATATCGAAAATTGCGAGCTTAATTTTTTTGATTATTTTTTTTCTCAGCAAATATATTAATTTCTTATATAAATTTATAATATTTATATTTATATATAAATTTTATTTAATTTACTTTATGTAATTGTAGGTCAAACTAAATTAAAGTTGGTCGTTCAGTATTGAATGATAAGTTAAAAGGCAACAGCAAATCTTGAAAATATCTCCTTTCTCATAATTATTAATTATTCAATAATTATTCAGAAAATATTGAATTCAAATAATTAATTTGTAATAACGATATCGAAAATTGCGAGCTTAATTTTTCAATTATTTTTTTTCTCAGCAAATATATTAATTTCTTATATAAATTTATAATATTTATATTTATATATAAATTTTATTTAATTAACTTTATGTAATTGTAAAAAATTAAGATTTTATATATAAACGAAAGGATTAATACTTAATTTCAGTTTCTTAAGTGTTAAATATATAATTGATAATTACATTAAATTTAATTATACGTAAGCATGAAGTAATTTACAGTAAATTAAAATATGCATATTCTTACAATAATTTTTATAATGTTTTAATAAATGTTTTCTTCTTAAACGCATTTAATACTTGTCTCCCAGATATAATTATAATAATTATATACTAGCATGTAACGCGTACGTGAATCATGAAAATTTATAAGCTTGAATGATTGAATTTGCGAAATTTAAATCACTACAACATCTGATTTGTTCGCTAATATATTTTCTATATAAAAATTCGCTGTTGCGTGCTTAATTTATTCGTCTCCCGGTCAAATATGATCCGCCAACAACGCAGCGCGCGCGTGAGTCATCTTTAATCATACTGAAATTTACGTTCTCCAATGCCCATCCTCTCTCAAGTAGGCCTGCCGCTTCTGGTACAACGGAGCATAGCGCGCCAGATTCAGCTCGTAGAGACGATCGGAAAGGGTCGCTTTGGCGAGGTTTGGCGCGGTCGTTGGCGCGGCGAAAACGTCGCTGTGAAAATCTTCAGTTCGCGCGAGGAGAGGTCCTGGTTTCGGGAAGCGGAGATCTATCAAACGGTGATGTTGAGGCACGACAACATTCTAGGTTTCATCGCTGCCGATAACAAAGGTATTGCATTTTCTCCCCGTTTTCTCTACATTTAAATTTAAATCTGGCAAGATCTTGAAAAAATAAAAAAAAATCTGTAAATTGTTGTATACAGGATGTAGCTTAAAAAGCTCCCACTAAGCAAATAGCGTTATTCCTTAAAAACCGAGTCGAAAAGTCCTGAAGCATTTTTTTCCACAATGCTTAATAAAGCAGTAATTAATGAGTAAAGTTGCGCCAATAAAAAGACAAGCTTTCTCGTTATCAATGTATAAAGATTTGGATAAGCAAAAAAATAAACTGTTTTGTGTTAATTTTTAAACAATTCATCTTTTCAGAAATCTTTGTAATACTTAAATCTGATTAATTATTTAATGAATCTTGGGGGGAAAAAATTGTACACTCTGTATATTGTTCTTGATATTAATTTCTAAACCGTTTATGAGTAAGAATCATTGCAATCTTATGTTAAGAATTTAATAATTAGGAATGTAATACAGTTTTTTTAAGATTAATAGATACAGTAAATTTTATCTTGAACAATTATATAAGAAAAAAATATCGAAATAATATTTGACTGAAAACATTTTATTTTTGGAGACATTTTTTTGTGAAAGCCATATCAATGAAATTAAGTCTGGAAAAAAATCGAGATTGATTTGCGTTTTCATTCTTTTCTTTTGTAGATAACGGTACGTGGACACAGTTGTGGCTGATAACAGATTATCACGAGAAGGGTTCGCTCTTCGATTACCTCAACAGATCAACCGTCGACACGAACGGTATGATAAGGATGGCCTTGTCAATCGCTACCGGCTTGGCGCATCTTCATATGGAAATAGTCGGCACGCAAGGCAAGCCGGCAATCGCTCATCGGGACCTGAAGTCAAAAAATATCCTTGTGAAGACCAATGGTACCTGCGCCATAGGCGATCTCGGATTAGCTGTCAGGCATGACGTAATCACGGATACCGTCGACATTCAGCTCAACAACAGAGTCGGCACGAAGCGATACATGGCACCTGAGGTAATTAAACCTTGTGAAAGTTATCTTGAGGTTCTAGATATAAAGAAACTTGTGTTTCCTATTTTCGAGAAAAGTAAAAAAAAAAGTTTAAATTTAATTATGATTGCAATAATAAATACCAGTCAAAGTTAATAATATTGATATTATGAACACATATATTCTCTCTGATAAGAACATATTTATTGAAACGTTTTTTATCAATTATTTAATTCATTTTTAAATTAATCTGGGATTAATAAATTTTTTTAATTCATCAAAGATTTATTTGTTTTTGTTAGAAAAAAATGAGAAACAGTAGTAAAATTATATATGATTAATAAAAGAGGATCTTTTATCGAGAGAGAGCAATACTTAAGCATGAAAAAAATTTTCGGTAAAAATACATGCAAAGGTAATAATTATCAGCGAAGATAAAAATATCCAAGATAATTCGAGTGGATTTGCGCACTCGATCAGGAAAGCGGCTCTTCAGTAACTCGTGCAAACGCTTTCTGCTTTCAGGTTCTTGAAGAGACGATAAACATGAACCACTTCGACTCGTTCAAGAGGGCCGATGTGTACGCGCTCGGCCTGATCCTTTGGGAGATCGCTAGGCGTTGCAACGTCGGCGGGATTCACGATGAGTATCAGCTGCCCTTTTACGATTTGGTGCCTTCCGATCCAACTATCGAGGAAATGCGGAAAGTCGTGTGTATGGACCGACAACGGCCGTCGATTCCGAATCGATGGCAGTCAATCGAAGTAAGTCAATCTGGATGAAAAATGTAATTTAAATGCATAGCCTTTTGCGCATAAAATTGCTTTGCGCATAGGAAAATAAATTAAATCATATTGGTTTAATTTCTTTTTAATTGATAATTTCTTCTGTTTGATTATTTGCGTCGTATGTTTACTTATATGATTTAAAATTAACCAACATTCTAGGTATAAGAAGTATATAATTATTTTTATATAATGTAAAGTGAAATTGATAATTATATAATTGACGATTCGTTTTATTTATTTTAGGCATTGCAGGTAATGTCGAAGGTAATGAAGGAATGTTGGTATCATAACGCCGCTGCCAGACTGACCGCACTCAGGATCAAGAAATCGCTCGCTAATTATGGCGCAATGGAGGACCTGAAGTAGATTAAGCTTTCGCCGAACTCTTCGATAGAAGAGTTACTAAAAATCGATTGGTATATATGTGCGAAAAATTTCGATTGATATGTTGCTGTCGGAAAATTCGATGCAATAGAATAGAATTTTCGATAGTGTGAAGAGATATTCTCCGAGAGTTAGTTCGAGGAAGAAAGACCGACTAGTAATTATGGGATTCCTTTATGCGAGATTGATCTCGATTTTCGAGTAAGAATATTGTACGAATATGATTAGTGATCAAGTTGGACTCTCTGTGGCAAGTTATGAGCAGAGAAAATAAAACGAATTTTCAAGCGTGTTGGTCGATTTGAACGATTGATAGCGTACAAAAAATAAGAAAAAAAAACATGATTATTTTAATCCCGATGATCAATTACTCGAGCGAATGGATCGATAAGAAAATCGTTCGGTTAGTCGAACGATCATTCGGTTATGCATCGCACAAATTTACACGCGCAAACACATATGCACGCACACTTTGCTGCATATTTATTATACACAATGATACTATTGAAATATTAAATAATGAAGTATACAAATTGATTATATAGCAATGTTTATTAATTAATACTAATGAATAACAATAGATTTGTATATTAATATATATACATATATATATATAATTATACAGGGTGTCCCAAAACTTATAATCAATCTTTCAAAGACAGATTCCTGGGATCATCTGAAGACGATTTTTCCTCAACGAAAATGTCGAGGCACTAATAATTTTCGAATTATAAGTGATTGGAAATAAGGGGTTTTTCGTAAACTAAGCTTTGTAGAAATAAAATATTAACAAAACCACATTCTTCGATTAATTTTAAATAGAGTTTACTTTAGTTGAGTTTTAATTTAAGGCTTAATTGCAAAGATATATGATGACAAAAATCATGAATATGCAAAAAATGATGGCGACATTTTCGCTGAGGAAAAATCGTCTTCAAATGATCCCAGGAATCTGTCTTTGAAAGATTGATTATGAGTTTTGGGACACTCTGTATATTTGCGTTAGTAGAATATTATCGATTCGATTAACCGAACTATTCATTTTATTTGAGTAATTTTGTAAATAAATTACTTCAATGAAATGTTGGGCACATTCGCATGAGTATGATTCATCGGAAACAATCGGGATATTGCATGAAATTTAAATGTATCAGCTCAGCTCCGATTGAACGTGTTGATAGACCATATGTGTGAGAAAAGCTTTTACAACGGAATGACAATTTTCTATCTTGGTTTCGAAAATTTACTGTAGAGATTCGCTATTTTACCAATGCGTGCAGAGACTAAAATCATATTAAGATCATATACCATACACTGTGTTATAAAAGAAATATGCATATCTTTTAGTTTGCCTTCTTTTCGAAAAGAGTGTCGACTTTGTCGATTAAAATGATTATACAGGGTAGATAGAAAAACCAAACAACCGGCTGATAGACGATTGATAGGCATTCAATAAATTTGAACAATTTGGATAAAGTGGTGTTCTTGTTACGAAAACAAAAAAGCCATTGAAAGCGTATATCCTTAAAATTTTGGATGTTGATATTACTGCAAGAACAAGAATGTCCACCGTGTGTAAAGTATCATGGTACTTTTGACATCCGGTTTTTCTTATCAACCCTACACGTATACTCTTAGTATAGTAGACACGAATCCAAATGTTTTGCTCAAAACAAATATTTTTGCGTAATCACATGAAAGATGATGCAAGGCGCAATGAGGTACAGCGGGATTTTCGAAGTATGTTTCCTTTATGACGCTGAAAGATTAACATTGAAATTAAATTCAAGAGCACGCGTATCGTGGCATGAGAGGAACATGAGTGTATGAGAAGCGTGCGAGAATTAAATGGGAGCTGGACTAGGATTGATTGATACAAAAAAGAGAAGAAGAAGCGGAATAAAAAGGGAATCGTTGAAAAAATCTATATTTTTTTGGGGATTTATTTTTTTGCGTGGTAGAAATAAAGGGATGAAATTTAGCAAAGAGATGAAGATTTTAATTAAATATATTAGATGAAGAGAGAGAATATATTAGAAGAGTATACGTAGTTATAAACAAGAAGAAACCAACTGGTATGAAACAAATATAATTTGTGGATTTTGCAAATATTTTATTGAACTTGTTTGTTTATTGCCAGATCATTTCTAACAATGCATTGTTTTATAAGAGACTATACAATATAATAGCTTTTTATATGTATTAAATATAAAAAAAATTTTTTTTAAATTTTATAATGTAAAAAATATAGTATATAATAAATTTGAATAACAAGAACAAGCTAAGATCACTAAAAAAAACTTCTTTGTTTGTTAAAATAAATTTTTAAAATAAATAAAATTTATTAATTTTTTTAATTTATAATATGATCTTACTCTTATTATAAAATAATATTAAAAAATTTCGTTATAATAGAAAAATAATATTTTCAGTTGGTTTTTTCTGGCATAACCACGTTTAAAAGTTTTTTAGATTATTTTCATTGAATTACATTATACATTATATCGGTTAAAAAAAGCTTTGCTAAATGCTATTTTGTACATTTTTTTAAAAATGAAGATTCTAAAGAAAAAAAGCGTCGGATAAACTTCGTATATACATCTATGCGCTGTATTTCAGTGAGTTGAAAAGCAATCGTAGTGCTCGAGATAGGTATAAATTTGGTATACTGCGAGATTGAGAGAATGTGACGAGTATGCATACGCGCGGAATGCCTCTCTGCGAAACATAATTATAAAATTATCGGCGAAGAAGAGGAGAGATTGTTTCTCCTTACTTGTTTATTCGCGAAGAATAGAGCATATTCTTCTCTTCTTCCACGAATAATTAAATTATATCGTAATAATGTATAGTGTATACTTTTGACGAAGTGAGAAAGAAATATGAAAAACGATTAATTTGGAGTAAAAGGAAACAGGTGAGTAAAGTTGCGTGAAATATAAGAGAACCCGGAAGAGAAAACACAGAAAAATGAAAATCTTCGTCATCCAATAGTCAAAGTAAAAGTCTGCGAAGTTACAATTATTATTATATTATAGGAGAAAGAATGGAGGATCCTTCGAGCATATAATCGTATTTTTATATATTGTTTTTTTACCGATGACGTCGATTGAACGTCACGCTAATTTTCCTCTTCCGTTTTTACGTCGCAATAGTTCCGATCCAGTTGCAATAGTTTTATGTATATGAGTGCGCGCTTTAGCTCTTTATATAAATCAGTGCAGATAGTTCTTAATTTAATAATATAATTAATATAATCTAATATAAACAATCACACACATATACATATCTTTTAACAAATATGTAAATATTTTAAATGCTAAAGAGAAATGTAACTATAGCAAAAAAATTATTTTAATATATAATTTTCTTAAAAATCGATAAGGGTATATCTTTAGAGAAACATGGAAAAATCACAAAAATTTTCAAGGACTTCTTAAATATTGAATATGCAACTATATTCTTTATAATTTTTAATGATGAAGAAATGAAAATATGCAAGTAAGAAACGTTAATCATCGAATCTATTCAATTTTTTTCAATACATTTCAAATCGCGATTCAATATCGCAAATATATCATTTGAAACTAAAGTGATTCTGTGTTTTTCTTTCGTATAAATGAAGATATACGTGGAAACATATATAATAAAAAAAATTTATTTTAGAAAATTGATCAAAATATCTTTGTAATGTTCTGTAATTTTAAACAAAAATATCTAGAAGTTCAGAGAATTTTTTATAGTATTTGAATAGACTTTGAGCGAGATCTAATGACATCAATAATTAAAAAATACAATACTAAAAAAATGTACTAACTTCTATTAATGTTTGAAAATTATATACGTATCTATTCATACATACATGTATATATTTCATATTTGTTATTATTTTTAATATTATTTTAAATACTATTATAAATATTATTGTCATTGAACATATTTTGAAATTGTATGCTATTATTATTTAACAAATTATTTTTGAACTATAAATTAAGAACAATCTGCACTTTACTTTAAATGGAGATGTATGAACATAGATAGACAAAATGTGTTTCTAGAAATTGAGTCGTTCATTACAGAAAATGTTCTTTTTTTCTGCCAAGCAAGATGAGACAAAAGCATCGAATCATATGATTCGATTGTAATAGAGTGACGTTATATGTTCGCCGCGGATCACAATTCACTAAAAGACTGAGAATCTAATGTTCGATTAATATTCAATTAATAGATAATGATTAATTAAGATTGAAATCAGAGAGACATTCATTTTTATTATTTTATCTTCAAGTTAATGATCCCAATACTAATTTAGGATAGTTTTATTTTTATGTTCTTTAACTTGAAGTTAGAAGTCAATTTCTTCTAATTATTTTTGATTATTAAAATTATTTTACTAATTCTTTAATATTATGAATTTGTTTTTCATTTATTGATATTAGATGAATTTATTATTGAATCGAAAATCATCAATTTTCCTATTACGTTATTGTATAATTCTTTTTTTATATCTTATTTTATTCCTTTTCATGCTATCAAAATTAATTTAAAAGTTTACATTTAAATTCCTAAATTGATTAATAATTTCCTGTTATATATATTATCAATCATTTTCAATCATTGTGGAAATAGAAGTAAGATTGAGCTGTTTTAAAAGTAGTTAAGTATCTTCGACATATTTCCTAACATTTTTTTTAGAATAAGTACTAAGTTTCGGAGGTTTATTCTTGAGAAATTTTTAACTTGATCTTGATCCTAAGTTTCATTCTAGACTTAACAAATAAAAGTTTACATGTAAGAATATTTTCGATTCGGCTATAAACCGGAAAGACAATAGTGCCGGCAATATTATGCGTGTACATCATGCAGGTTCTAATGAAATGTCACTCTGAAAACGGAGTCTCGTTTCTTTGCTTGCTCCCATACATTCCTGTTATATGTGACATGTAGATTAATTTATCATACGTAAATAACTATAGTCCGTTGATGAGATTTGGCGGTGACGTTTTTAACGTGTCTGTACTCCATGTGCTCAGATCTGTCAATGAAACGCCACGGCTCGATATGTTCCCCGCAGCTGTTTCCACATACTGCTAGTACAACTCTCTGTGCCAATACCTGACTGAGTATTAACTAAAACGAGAGAAACAAATGAAATAGTAATATATGTTTTATTTCCACAGCGAGCCGCATTCGCTCTCAAATAAGGAAAAATATCTTAGACTCACACGTGTTAAAACACCAGCCTTGTACATTTTGTAAACGTTATATCTGAGTTTCAAGACTAAGGATTAGATGTAACAGAAGATAAATCCCTGCAGATTTCTTTTAATCCACATATTTATCAGAAAATACATATCCAACACATAAAGGAGATTCAAAAATTAATTCGAATCATGATATTAATTAAAATCAATACACTTGAATGTTATTCAATAAGAAGATATTTTTCCTCTTTGTACACATTCGTATCCATCGCCAGCTATATTTCCGGGCGACGATATTAACGTCACTTCTGGTCTCTTCTTGATAATTAATTGTATCATCGAGGTT